ATGTTTATGTTTGCTCTTATTACTTCAAAAATGCAGTACATTAAAAATACTTTTAGTTCTTTTAAAATGAGTGCATGTCTGCGGTATTACAAAACCCTATAATATTTATTATCAGTAAATATAATGATCATTTAGTCATAATATTGTAGGGTTTAATGACCAGTTTGTTACTTGGGTGGCTCATTCGCCCTGTTCGGTTCGATTCAACTCCGTAAATAGGGAAGGTCAGCTAATATGTTTATAAAGGCTTCAGGCCCGGATCTAGCGAGATTCCGGGCGCCAGTGTCAGGAGGGCGTCAAAATCAATCATCATTATGTAATATCTACTCACAAGTAAAAAAAAGAACGAGATTCACAAATCTTAAATTATAGGTACAAAGGGACGAACATGCTTCAAAATTACTAATTGAAATAAAAGAAAAAAATTGTACACTGCAAAAATATAGTAATATAAAGATGCGGCATCATGAAGCGTGGAGGGGGGTGTAGAGGAAGGAGGGTGGATTATTTGGATCAAGAGTAGTCCCAGACGGATAAACGATGGATGTGAATTTAAAAATTCTAGAAACATGATAAATTATCAGGCATAATTAAAAGATAAAGTACGAAATACAGCCATCCGCAAAAAAATGCGTATAACAGATGCACTTACCTATTCTCTCCAAAGAAAATGGAGCTGGGCAGGTCACGTGGCGGGGTACGCTGATAGTAGGTGGACATTAAATGTTGCAATGTGGGGACCTGGGAGTACGTGTGAATTAGACAAATGTTGCGTTTTGACTGACTTTATTATACTAAACACATTATTTATAATGAGGTTGGAGATGTACACACTACACCTCCCCCGTTGAAAAAGAAAAAAAAATACTCTTTAAATACATTTTTTTTTTACAGATTAAAACAATAATTTTACATTATTTAGTTCATTACTTTAAAAAGATCAAGAATATACTCAAATTAAAACAATCGGTTTCTGTTCATAGTTCTAAATGAAACAAGTAAACTTTAATTCAGCAAATTTTAGAAAAAATGTTTAACAATATGTATAGAAGTTTATCAGACGTATGTAAAAATATCATGTAATATATAAATATATCTATTTTGTTTCATAGTACAGTTTTTTTTATTTCATAATTAAATGCCAAAGAATAAAAAATCACTAAACGCATTTATTTTTCTTAAAATAATAATAATAAAATTTATGGGTTAGATATACGAGTTCCTCTATATAGTTACGATAATAATATCTATGCTAAACTGTTATAAGTGAATCCGAAAAGCACACAAAAAATGCCCAGAATTATAAATGACAGATTCTTTTCAGTACACAGAGACTTAATTTATTTTAGAAATTATTATTTAACGCTAATATTAATAAAAAAAAATAGACAAAATTATAGGGAACCATTTAGATTGTATTACACATACATTTCAAATTTGATTTCATAATTTTCTTTTACATTTTAAAATTTCATAACAAACAAACAATTCATATAATAATTTATAATTATTAATACAAAAAAAAAACAATAATTTTTGTCCTTTACATAGTATACAATAATAGCAGTTTCCTTTCACGTTTTCTTATTGAAATGTTTAAAAAAATTGTATTTAAAATATCTATATCTTTGTTTAGCTATCTAATTCTATTCAATCATTTCATAAGTTAAAGTCAAATAATTTTCTATTGTATTAACCTTTAAATGAACTTTCGTTTAGTATTAAATATCTTTCATTGTTATCATGATACTAGATTTTGAGATGTAATTTTTCATCTATCTCAAACATATAATAATTATTATCATTAAGTTTAAGCTGAAACCTCGACGTTTGTTTGGCGTTCAATACTCTCCTTTATTTTCTTTAATTTCCAACTTAATATATTAGTCCTTAAAACAACCAACACTACTAATGAAGGAAATTAAAAAAAAGTCCACTTTTTCCATAGTTATGTGCTACTTTATAAATACATATATGAGATTTTAATGTTTCAAAAAAAAAAAATACGGTCTGTCTACAATCAAATATCTTGCGTAGTAAATCATTTCATATCATATCAACTTTCATAATAATTATTTCTAATTTTTCGATACCACACAATACTTTTTCAGATACAACAATTTACTCGTATGCTTATTCATCATCTTTCTTTATCTAACATTTATTTGATCATACTTTATTCCATACTCTTGCTCGTATTCTTAATTTCCCATAATATCGGTACACTTATTTCATAACACATTACATACGTAGGTACTTTGCCTATACGCATTTTTTCACTCGTTTGTTCGCTCGGCGCCGGCGTACTTTCATTTTTATTTTATTCATACATATTGGTACATATATTATTTATTTATAGTCGACTTTATATATTCTATAATATTAAATGGACAATATTATGCCATTTGGGTTGTGGCCACAACCTAATTATTTTGGGGGTCATGGTTTAAGCCTCTTTTGGACTCCAACTGATCTCACGGAGAAATCTCGTTTGCACCATGATCGAATGGAAGGATCCGACCCTCCATGTACCATTTTCATACACATTTCTTTTCATAGGGTCATGAATTAAGACATTCTTTGGTCTCCAACAGTATTCAAATGTGAATCTCGTTCGTCAATTGATAAGACTGAAGGACCCGATCCCTATAGTACCTATTTCCTACTGTGTACCGTATAATCGAGCATTTTACTTATAAACTTTCATTCCGATCCTTAAAAAAAAAACTACTTTCCAAAATATAAATAATTAGATTAATAAAAATTTCTTAGCACTTGGGTGATCAGTCCAGTGGCTTATGAAATTTTACGAACCCAATTATTATCAAACATCCAAATATAAACTTTTACATATCATTCCAAAACCTTCATAATAATTAAAACACGTTACCATTTTCTTTTCTCATCCATACTGTACCTAATTGCAAACATAAAGTTACAAATAGATTTTTAATACAATTCACATTACTTATATTCTCACGCTATTCGTCTGTACCTAATATTTTTAAAACGACTTACATAATTGATTCTTTTTAAATAAACTTTTCATTACGCACTATTTAACCTGTTTTTCATTTAGATTTCTTTTCTAATTTTAATTTTTGTTATAAATCTTATTTTACTTCAATAATTGTTTCAACGACATCGATTAAGTTTGCTATAAACACATGTTACGATATTATTAAAAGATATCAACACTGCACAGTGTTATTGTTTGAAATATAATATTAAATAAAGATCAACATAACCGGCAAATTAAAGTGATATTGTTTATCTTCATATTACTGGTTCACCTAAATGATAGCTTGCAAAACTACAGATGCATCGTGCATTGTAAGGTTATAGAAATACAATACCTAACTTCCTTTTTTGTTACCTTTGTTATTCAGCGCATCGCAAAGTTTCAACTTACTATTCTTTATTTTAAAATTTTGGTTAATCTATTACAACTTTGGTAATTAAATAAAAAGTTTAACAACCGATAATATTTTGTACCCGTCATGTCTGACAATAATATAACTTTTAAAAAATGTACTTTTATATACGTTATAATATATTGTTTCAATCAGGAATTGAACCCGCAGTTTTCGGTCTTTCGTTCATATACATTTTCTGGCAGAGCAGACCTTGGCAATTTGTAAATGATTGGAGTTTGCTTATCACGTGTTTATCTAACTAGATACTAGCCTGAATTCATTATTACGAAAAAATAATGCCCTATACTTTCAAATGATATTAATCTTAATTATGTTTCTGATAAACATACAAATTTGAATAAAATACAATTTGAAACTACGTGTAAGTATTTTTCTATAAAAATTTATATATTGAATAAAGTCTATCTTGTCAAGTTTATTTTTGGAAGGATAATTAATACCTTTTTTCTTAGTTATTCTGTAGCTAACTGATTTTCATTACATTATACGATTTCAAGTAATAATGATATTAAGTGACAATAATATTCGTAGTATTAGCTACTTTTCTAAATATTTATTTTCATAATTTAATGAAGCAGTAGAATAATTACAATTTAAATACCAACTTTAAATTAATGTTATACCATCGAAGGATTTTAACATTATTTTTGTATTTTAGCTTGTTTTCTTCTTTATTTTTCCAAATTACTAATAAATAAATTTATTTCAAATTTAATCTCAAAGACAACTTGCACGTACTTATTAAATGCATACATACTACACGTGTTGCTAGGTTATACTTTATTGTTCCGTTTTCAACTCAATTATGAAATTAAATAATGATGTCAATTTAGCAGTCTTTCAAATATGATAACTATGGTTTTATAAAATGCAAATTGTAACTATGTGTAATTCTCATAAACGATGAAGTAATAATAACCAAATAAAATCCAATTTATATAAAAGTATTAACATAATTTCTCGTTGTTCAAAAGACTTATTATATGTATATGTTATCTATAATCAAAACATACAAAAAGGAAACAAATACCATCTTTAATTTTTTAATATCGGCGTTTAGATTTTTGGAGAGTATTAATAATTACTTACTTTTAGATGTTAAATCATTGTATAAATGCTATCCTGAAATTAGATATAGATATTAATGATTGTTACAAACTTACGTACACATGGTTAATAATGATAAAATATTACACTGAAAAAATAAAATCTAGTATATTGAAATCCTAATTTTAATGCAATAACATTAAAATACAAATAAACAAAAAGATAATATTGACTATTCGTTAAAATAGGAATTCTAATTTAAACCATGATAGGAACAATATTTTGTTTTATGATTTTTTCTTGCCAGTCCATTTATCGCACGCTGAGAACGAAAGTGACCCAATCCAAAATTTTGGGAAATTGAGTTTTATACATAAACAGACCTTAAGAGACATGCTCTACAACCTACAAATTCAAAAACTACCTTATTCCCGCTGCTTAAGCTTCATTTTTTATTTGCGTCTCTTTCATTTCTGCGCCCCGCGCAACCCCTGTCAGTATAAAAGTGACGCAATCAGTGATTCGCCGGGAGTGCTAACGGGTGGACGTGCGTCGTGTTAATATTTTAGTGACCCAATGCGCATTGGGTCACTTTAGGACTCAAACTGAGGTAAGACCTTTATAGTAGCTGTTACTATTAAAGTGACCTAGGGGCCAATTCTACTAAATAAATTTTGTTTAAATCGAATCGAAAACGGAACGAAACCGAACGAAACTACAACTTTTAGTGGTTTTCCTATTCTACTCGGTGTCAAAATGGCGTCAAACGATACAGTTCCGGTTCTATTTTAGTTTAGCTAACTATCGATCAACAGAAACTGTAAACGGTATTCTACTCGCTCAATCGAACATAGAACTATACAGATGTAGTTATGCAAACCGGAACCAACCCACAAATCTGTCAAAATCGAATTATGTGCAGAGAAGCCTAAAAGTGTTGCAATTAAACTCAAATGTTGTAAATTCACAAAATATCTTGATAAATAAATAAAATAAAATATATTCTACAAACAATTATTACTAAAAACAAGAAACCCATTTTTCTCAAAACTGACATCATGTGGCTGGTTTGCATAACTACGTCCATATACTTGAGTCGATCGTCGGCCCTTATTCCACTAAAATTTTGACACTTCGTTGGATCGAAACGCTACTGAAACGTTACTAAATCCGAACGTTTCATCTGTCAAAATTAACGATTTCTAAAAAGTTGCAAATTTCTACTTTTTGACGATCGATAGTTAGCGTTTAATGATAGATGTGAAACAATTTATATTATTTAAAATTTTAAGAGGTGCAATTAGGTACCCCCAATTGCTGAGTGAAATAAAATGCCTTGATCCATCTTCAGAATTGATAATTAAAAACATTTTGCCCTACAAAAGTAACTTCGGCAAACATAGGTATTTGTAGTGTTTGTATAGAAGAAGTTTTATCTCGGTACATTGGAGAGCTGCGAAACGTGTTCATCGGTATCTGAAGGCTATAAAAAATAGGAAACTGACCTATAACAATAGTGGTGATCTAATCGGATTTGCTGATGCCGATCATGGAGGTAATCTGGTGGACAGACGATCCTATACAGGATATGTTTTCCAAACGTGTGGTTCAGCAGTGTCATGGGAATCACGAAAACAGAGAACCGTTGCAACATCAACAACAGAAGCTGAGTACATGGCTCTAAGTGAAGCCTGTAAGGAAGCCATCTACATTCGCTCATTACTAAGCAACATCTTTTGCTTTTCGTCACCCATCACCATTAATTGTGACAATCAAAGTGCCATCAAATTAACAAAAAACAACACACATCACGCCCGCACAAAACATATTGATATTAGACATCATTTTATTTGTGAGTCTATATCCACTAAACAAGTCAATGTGTCATTCATACCATCAGCTCACCAAACAGCAGACATTCTCACAAAGCCACTGCCTAAGCTGAGACACTATATGTGCCTAACTAATTTAGGATTAGTTTAGTGTTATTAGGTTAATTAGGTTAGGGCATCATGTTAAGGTACTTTTGATATTATAGTGTTTTTGTACATACAGTGTGTTTATATAAAGGTGTACATAAGTGTCCTGATTACGGGGAGGTGTAGATAAAACCTTTTTCTATATTAATCAGACACTGGCATCTTTTCGTATACCTTTTTGAATTAGTATTTTATACACTGTTTTTTGTTTTTATGTCACTCTCTTCTTTACTCTCATCTGACTTTTATGTATTTACAACGTGAAATATATTAAATACTCCAATCCACTGTGACTTTTAATTCCTACAGTTTAAGAGTTTGTGAGTGAGTTATCAATAGACTGTAAAGAACATAATAAGTTGTGTAAATCCATTGATATGTTTGCTTTATCATTAATTATTTATAAAAATACCTTATATTAAGGTACCAAAAAATTTTAATCTTTAACTGTCTAGCACTTCAAGCATATAAAATTTTCTATCCAATATTATTTATTTCACAAAGATACAAGGATACTTTCAATGAGCACCCTGACGTCTGAAGTAAATATACAAAATCTGGGTATCAAACACCAGATTCCTCATCTACCTCATAAGAACATAGCAATCCATGTGATATAAATTATGTAAAATGATTAGAAAAAAAATGAAATCAAAAACTATGGAGCTAGATAAACAAGTGTGATAGTGTTTAATAAACTTTTTATGTATACCATTTCATCTATTTGTTATAGATAGTTCTGTAATTTTGTGGTTGCTTATTGATATGTAAAAATGTTGGCAGACTTTAAAAATAAAATAAATTATATCTTGATTATTAATCTTAAATTATTATTTTTTATTCAAAACTTACATTTTATAGATAAATTAATAGGTTTTCATTCCTCTATGAATTTGAAATGTTGAATTCATATTATGTAGATTCTTAACATAAATAAGGTCCACCTAGTTGAGGCATGTAATGTAAATTAAAATTGAAAAATTATATTTCTGTTAAAACTTTACATAATTATAAACAATCATTATAAATAGGAACATTGTAAAAATCATTATTAGATTGTAGGGGCTTTTGGCTTTAAGTAAACTTATCTATGATTATAAAAACATGAATTTTTGAATATTTTGTATTGAAAAAAGTAAACTATTGTAGTATTTTTACAGGAAAACTTAAAAGTGTGTATTTACAAGCATGTGTGGAATTCCAATAAAAATGGCACTGAAAAAGTCCTTGTTTACAAATTAATTAATTTATCATTATTTTTTCTGATCACTTTTGCATTTGCAATACTATATCGATATTTATCTTAAAGGAAAATAATTAAAAAACCCACTTCAAGCAATTAGTGCTTGAGGTGGGATTTAAACCCATAAACACTCACAGTCTAGGCGTCTGCTAAAACCAATTTAACTACCAGATAACCAGCAGGTTTTGCGAATTTAAGAATTACTTGCATTACTAGTGAGCATATGCTCATTTATGTTTAGGAAGTTCACCAAAACTATATTAATAATACCATTATAGAGAATAGAATAGAAAATTCTTTATTGTTAACATTACACAAGTTATATAGGTATACAAATTTAAAACAGTTTAACAAAATAATGTAACAATTGGCGGCCTTATCGCTTAAAGTGATTTCTTCCAGGCAATCATGAGATGGAGAAAGAGAGATAACAATTTATGAAGACAGGGGTGTAAATTTTATCAATAACATTAAAAACAAAATATGATCAAATAATAATCTTAATTAAAAAATTATAATTATGAATATTTTTTTTCTGACATAAGTATTACTCACTTTTTTATTTGGAGATTATAATATTATAAAGGATTATTACATCATATCATCATCATTTTTAAAGGATTGTTAAATAGGTAAATATACTGTTTATAAGATTTTATTCTGAATTATTTTTAATTTAAAAAAATTACATAAAATTGAGCTTAGCCGCAGCTCAGTTTTATGTAACATTTGAAATAACATGAGGCTTTCTGTAACCATATATTAAGTTGCGTGCAAGATAAATGTTCAGCCTAATTAGTATTACCTACATGAAAAATACATATTCTACTGTTTTTGACACAAAGTTAAAACCAACCACCAATTTTAACCCAAAGAAAACTGTCATACGCTATGATGGGTTACAATTTAGAACAAAAAAAATAAGCCTGTGAATCAGGAGCTCTTGTTCAATTTTGCAGGAATTTATATGTGTTAGTTCTTTTATATCAGTTGAAACTTATACTTAATTTGCTCATAGTCAGCATGGATGACAGCTGCAAGCAGATCTATGCAACTACAAGAATTTAATTTGTATACAACTTAATGTGAAAGATATGTCAAATCATTAATAATTTTCTCTGATCTTACTTATAATATCTAGTCAATAATGACATTTCTAATGGGTTTCTATAACAAGCATTGTTTTAAATTTAATCTTGTATAGATTTTCCACAGTATATATTATGTTGCCTTGCTTGATTCGGTGTACAGATGTAGGTATAGCCAGATTTCGAAAGATATTGGATTCATTTCATCATCAATAATTCTCTCTTAAATGTCTACTTTGAGTCGACTATCGTTTATCTTCTTCACTATGTTATTGATACGTATGAATATTTATTTTCAATCGAAAACTTCTTCTTTTATTAAGGGCTTTCGCATAATTCTGCCAATTTCACGTGCGTAGCCAATACATGGTATGAATTATTTTATAAAATTAATTTTGTAAATAATATTTTCAAGTATAATGTTTCACTTTCTATTACAGTTTAATATTACAAAAAAATACACATATGCGGATTGTTTTAGTAGATATCCCATATTAAATTGTCATTTACAATTCAATTTTGTCAATTTCTTTCTTCTTTTATTAATGGTATATCTGCGCATTTCACACAATTCTGCCAAAGTCAAGTGAATAAATTAATTTCTACATGTAAAATGAAAAAGTAATGAATGAAAGATTAATTAAAACATTGTCTGTATCATTGTGGTTTGTATTGACTGACAAAAAGTGAATTGGTGTTGCAATATAAAAATCAAAAATCGATTGGAAAATAATCGATTAATTCAGTATATGTAATAGAACTGCAGTAACATTTATTGATTAAAAAAAACTTTAATATACTTTTAGTTAATTTTGGTGCAATTTTGCATTTTTCCTAAGTTTTACGGACTACTACGGTTGTTGATTCAACAATGCCCAAATAAATAAATATATATATATTATAATTATTATGTAATTTCCAATGCCCGTAATTGGAAATGTTATATGAAAACCTAATGAAGTTACTAAAGTCATATGCAATCATCATTTAACTTTAACATTTAATTTTTAGTACAAACAAATATATAAATTTAATGATTATTTTTGTTGTACATTCTTTTGAAACGGAGTTGTTTAAAGTAAAGTATACACCTCTGGATTAATGCTCGTCCTAGTCTTGGACTGATTGCATACCTCACTTATTACAGTTTGTTAGTGACCGAAAATGAGTCAAAACTTTTCTGTTCACGACCTACCTATGTAGGTACCGTTTTATTTTACGGAATCATATTATTCACTTTCATGCTACTTTATCTCACATAATAACATTTATTTTGTGAATTAAAACTCGGTATAAACAATAAAATAAACCAACACCATTCGAATTTTGAAACTTAACTCTTTAAGCTTGACGTTATCTTTAGTCGACGCCAGGATTTATAGTATTTCATCTGACTTTTTTGTTAATTAAAAGACTTAATTATATCGAATTTATGCTTTAAATATTAAGCATGTTTTAAGTTGAGTGCTTAATAAAAGTTAGAATTGGGTATATGACGATTTTCTGAAAACTAATTAATTAAAATAGTTGTTTGATACATTATAAACACACTGTCAATATATTACATGAGAATTTGTTCTATTTTCGATGAATATAATTGTTTAAATCTACAGATTCTAAGAAATAAACTTTTATTAGATTATTATCTAACATGATGATAATAGTACGAAACTTATTTTTATAGTGTCAAATACCCATAATGATAAAAATATTAATTATAAATTCGCGTTTTGGGTATTTTCCCTTATAGCTTAACACTTAGGTATGCACTTTCTTAATGTAGCTAATATTCGGGTGTTTCGTCCGTATTTTAAAACGTTCGAATAAGAATATAATAGATTCATTACGTACAGAAATGATAAAAAAATCAAGGAATGAATAATCATTAATCGTCTCCCGTTTAACTAATAATTTCATTTATTTTATCCTGGTAACACTAATGACAGCTGTTTGGTTCGGCTACGATTTGGCTCCGATTACGTTTCAGTTTAGTAAACGTTCGTTTGATAATTTACGTTAGCGGAATGCAAATTTACAGCAAAAATCGAAACGTAACCGTTACAGAAACGCTATTGATGATCGATCGTTGTAAATTAGTAGAATTGGCCCCCTTTTTTTGAATTGAGTCGGTTTACGATTAGAATCTTTTTATTTTACGTGTCTTAAAAGCTAATAAGGCAGTCCTTGATTAACCCATAGCTGGAGTTTTTAGTCGAATTATGTGTTAGGCCTGTACTTGATTGATGAATTGTATTTTGTTTTGACGTATTTATGTGTGGGTCTTTTCATTAATAATTTAAGTACACAATTGATTGACCATTTCATTAATAAGTTTTTTCTTACTTTTAGTGACAGAAAAATATTTACAAGTCCAAAATGAAACGAAGAGCGGATCTGATTTTAAAGATGTTAGAGCACAAAAAAGAGGAAGAGGTAACACATTTTGTATGATTCATCTTATACACGGTCAATTTACTACGTAATGGTGTATCTTACGAGCCAACTGTAGTGGCTGCCTAAATTTTGTACATGTTTTCCATAACTTACCGTATCAAATAGGTATCATTTTATAGTTTTTACTCTGTATAATCCCTACTGTGTCGAAATTCTAATTCATTTCGTGATTTCAGGAAATTATTAGCTATAACAAAGAGAATATTTCTTCTAAGGTGAATGTTGCAGATAATGATGGAAATACAAATGAATCACTAAAACGAAATAGACCTAATAGTGATAAACTTGAGGTAAATGCAAATTTAACTGATTTAAAATCAATTAATGAATCAAGGAATTACACGCTAAGATGAAGATTACAGTTCAATTGACTATAAAATCTATAAATTTTTATAGGTACTTGAACTTACCTAAATAATAATAAGAAGTGTACAGACAACAGCACGTTGGGTTACTACAAACTGTCAAAATTCCTTAATAGATATTGAGCTTTATGAGATAGACAACAAGGTGAGATCAATCAAAAAAATTCACAGTTTGTGATCACCCAACGTGCTGTTGTCTGTACATAAATAAATTCAATTACATTCCGGTAAATTCTTCATTAACAATCTTGTTTTATTTTCAGCTGACCTGCAATGCTATAGATGTAGAAAAAAATACTGAAAATGATACCTTCGAAGATGAAACACTTGCCAAGAATTTTAGGACCCGGAATTTATCGACGTCTTCAAGCTCTTCCTCTTCAAGCTCTTCGTCTTCAAGCTCGTCACCTTCAACCACAAAGTTAAGTTCATCTAACTCGTCGACTTCTATAGATCGTTCTGATAAGAAGCAACATGCCGCTCCTCCATTAAGTCCAAACCCGAGTACCAGCAAGGAACATGCTCCCCGTTGTTCGTCAAGCCCAAAGCCGAGTAACAGCAAGGAACATGCTCCCCGTTGTTCGACGAGCCCAAAGCCAAGTAACAGCAAGGAACATGCTCCCCGTTGTTCGTCGAGCCCAAAGCCGAGTACTAGCAAGGAACATGCTCCCCGTTGTTCGTCAAGCCCAAAGCCGAGTAACAGCAGGGAACATGCTCCCCGTTGTTCGACGAGCCCAAAGCCGAGTAACAGCAAGGAACATGCTCCCCGTTGTTCGTCGAGCCCAAAGCCGAGTAACAGCAAGGAACATGCTCCCCGTTGTTCGTCAAGCCCAAAGCCGAGTAACAGCAAGGAACATGCTCCCCGTTGTTCGTCGAGCCCAAAGCCGAGTAACAGCAAGGAACATGCTCCCCGTTGTTCGTCGAGCCCAAAGCCGAGTAACAGCAAGGAACATGCTCCCCGTTGTTCGTCGAGCCCAAAGCCGAGTAACAGCAAGGAACATGCTTCCCGTTGTTCGTCGAGCCCAAAGCCGAGTAACAGCAAGGAACATGCTCCCCGTTGTTCGTCGAGCCCAAAGCCGAGTAACAGCAAGGAACATGCTTCCCGTTGTTCGTCGAGCCCAAAGCCGAGTAACAGCAAGGAACATGCTCCCCGTTGTTCGTCGAGCCCAAAGCCGAGTAACAGCAAGGAACATGCTCCCCGTTATCCGTCGAGCCCAACGCCTTGTACCAGCAAGAAACATGCTTCCCGTTGCTCACCGAGCCTATTAGGGCCGAACTATCAAATATCACCTATTCACACTGATGAAAGTGATGTAGACCTCAGCGACTCTGATCCTACGTTTAGGTTAGATAGCAATAAAGGTGAGGATGCTTCATCATCTGAATCTGTTTCCCATTCTGCTGCCACTGAAAGTAATGGCAAAAAGAAAAAAAACTAGAAAACGCTTGAGAAATCCCTCTAAGTGGATACAGAATGAAGTTAAACGATTGAGAAATGCGGGAAAAGCCTATCAATCCCTTTCAAATCAAAAAAAAATATTTCGGAGCGTAGTATGAAAGAGGGGTGTAATTGCAAACAGAAATGTAGTGAAAAAATAATGGATAGTGAACGATTGAATTTATTTAATAGTTTTTGGAAACTGAATGATTTGGAATTACAGCGTGCGTATATTCGCACTTGTATGATTCAAATAAACCCTAGATACAAATATACTAACGCAGAAAAGCCAAGGTTGCCTAATAACGCCTTGTACTTTACTTTAGATTCGAAGAAAATACGAGTTTGTAAGAAATTTTTCTTAAATACATTAGATATCAGTGACAGACAATTGAGAACTGTAAAGAGCAAAACAAACAATGAAGGCTTTTTAGAACGAGACCAAAGAGGAAAACATAATAATAGAAAACGTGTATATCCGACATTACTACAGAACATAAGGGACCACATTAACAACATACCTAAAATAGAATCTCATTACCTAAGAGCTACAACGGATGCTAAAGAATACATTTCAGATAGCAAAACAATACAGGACTTATGCAAAGATTTTAATGAAAAACAAAAAGAAAACAATAGACCAGAATGTGATTATTGGTTATACTTAAATACTTTTAACAAAGAGTTTAATATAGGGTTTTTTCAACCTAAGAAAGATAGATGTGACCTTTGTTTGGCGTATGAACTTGCACACGAGACAACAAAACTTGATTTAAAATCTGCTTATGAGAATCATCTTGAAGAGAAGAATTTATGCCGTCAAGAGAAAAAAAGAGATAGAGCAAATATTGACGACAGTAACATCTGTGCAGTATTTGATTTACAATCAATTCGTATTTTTATTACTGTTCGAAGATAAATTGTTTAGATTTTACCATCACTGAGTTAAATCCGACACAACAAGAAAATATTAAAGCCTATGAAAATGTGTTTTGTTATTTCTGGGATGAAACTCAAGGCAACAGAGGAGCAAATGAAATTGGTTCATGTCTATTTGAATACTTAAATACATTGAGCTCTAAACACCCAGATAAGAGCCTGAACATTATTTTTTATTCAGACAATTGTACGGGGCAAAATAAGAATAAAGTTATTGCCAGCCTTTATTCATTTGCAGTGATGCACTTTAAAAATATACAATCCATAACCCACAAGTATCTAATCAAGGGGCATACGCATAATGAAGCCGACAACGTGCACAGTTTGATAGAAAAAGAAATTAAAAAGAATGAAAAAGGTGGTCCTATTTACACCCCTTATCAATATGTCACAATTATCAAAAGCGCGCGGAAATCCGGAACACCCTTCACCGTTAAGGAAATGGACTACAATTGTTTCTATAACTTGAAACTATTGCAAGAACAGTGGGCGTATAACTTTAGTGAGGATACAGAAAGGAAAAAACTCATATGGAATGATGTTAAAGTCCTGCAATTTTGTAAAGAACGACCTTATTCATTCAACTACAAAACATCATATTCCCAAACTGCCTTCCAAACACTCAATATGCGAAACAAACGGAAGAAAATGGTAAGCGATGAATTAATCAGTCTTGAAAAATTATACGAGCAACCTATCGCATTAAAAGAAAATAAAAAAAGAGATCTCAAGAATCTCGTTAAAAAAAATCAGATTCCGCACTACTATGCAACTTTTTACGATTCATTGTAAATTGTGTGGTGAACTGACTAGTGGTAACTTACGGTATTCCGAGTTCCGTAGGTTTCTTTTTGTAATTTAAGTAACAGAGTTTAGTCTAGAGACAATTTATATATTTGATAAAAATAATAATATTTTTCTATAACTTCATAAGAACAATGTTACCTACCTATTAAGACTGATTACACGGGTAAGGCTGATAGTATTATGTACTTACCTACCTAAGACTGTAGATTGATAGTGCTATAATTAATAAATGATTCCAAAGCAAAATTTTGATCATAATTTTTGTTTAATATCTTTCATAATTACTCTACATAGAAATAACTCTAATTTTGTTATATTCGTAACAACATGGTTGTTATTACTTATGTTTAAGATACTTTATTTTTGAAAGTTTATAATTGACACTGTTATAATTGTGCATTTATTAAAGTATTTTTGATAAACATGAATACAGTTTTTTATTAGTCCATAAGATTATAATACAGATTAAGAATGAAAGTGATCTAATTATTGTTAGGTTATTGAATATTTATAATTACCAGATTAAAACAGACATAAACCCTAATAAGCACCTTTTTATTTTTTGTTTTCAGTACTAAAGTGACCTATTTTCGGAAGTTTTTTTTATTACACCTTAAACGCACTAATTATTTTCATTATTACAAAAAACAATATTAAATTCGAAACTAAATAGTACAAAGATTAATTAGAATCATTAAGTTTGAAATTACCATTAAAATTAGCATGTCTTTAAGAGTCACAAAAAAAATTATTGTAACTTGCTGACTTTATTTCTTCGTTTGCCAAAAATAACGAATTTTGGATTGAGTCACTTACGTTCTCAGCGTGCGTTATATCCATTGTCCCAATGACCGGAACTTCTCCCAGCTGCTCCTCATCAGACTCCTTCATCTCCCAGCTCCCAGCTTTCAATTTACCAAATATTCTACTTTTCCCATAATTTTATCTTCTTCGTGTAAATATATTTTGACCAATTATTTGTAGGTATTATTTGTTTCAGCACTCGACAGATAAATTTATTTAAAATTATAAATTATCTATACTCTATATTTTTCACTTTGTTCATATTGTTCTTTTGTATTGTTCGTGTTATTATTATATATTATTGTTTTGTATATTATGTATTTATTATATATAACAACGCACGCGCGCACTTCTTTATATAAAAAAAACCAGCTACGCAGCGCTGCCTACGGGCAGCACTGGCAGGGTCGCCATGCAATGTGGGGACCTGGGAGTACGTGTGAATTAGACAAATGTTGCGTTTTGACTGACTTTATTATACTAAACACATTATTTATAATGAGGTTGGAGATGTACACACTACAATGTTATAAAATGAACAGGACCACGAGGTATCAGAGCAAGAGGCAGACCTAATGCCAGATGGGTGAGATTGTAGCTACGGCGGGTCGTGGGTGGCTTGAAATAGCCAAAGACAGAGAAAAATGGGAAGCTTTGGAGGAGGCTTTTATTCTGAGGACCCATACAAATACAGTAGAATTTATTTAATTTAAATTCATATCATCATCGAATAATGTCGCATTATTATTATTTGAAGTTTTTGTTTTATTAATATGTCTTAAAAAAAGTATTTCATTGCATAATATATTTTAAATATTTTGCGAATATCTTTTAAATAAAGCTTTATTATTATTATTACACCGTCATCAAGAGAGTCGTCAGAAAATGCTAATAATTTAGGAAATGTACTGATAAAAATTACGTACAGTGTTTATTAATTCTGTCATTATATTGCAGAGTTACTAGTTTTATCTAAAGACTTATTTCATGAATTTAAATACAGTAGAACGTCGACAAGTTAAAGTCCAAGGGAAAGACAAAATATTTTAAGTTATAGAGGTTTTGAGTTATCAAGGGTCTATGGTAGGGATAGGTTAATATAGAGGTAGGTATTACATATACTATATGTATGTACCCTTATTCCTATTTTTACTCGAATGCATCAGGACTGGTTCAATAAAACACGGAAATTTAAATAATCATATATATTTATTCACTTTGCACACGTTAAATAAAAATAAAACAACAACTAAAGGTTTAGTCTACTTAAAAAAAGTCTGTGATTGTTTTTTGTTTTAAACAATTCACATTTTCATATCGATTTGAAGAATTTCGAAGAAGCAAACAATAGGTGACATATGTATTTTTTACGTTAACAATTTAACTAGAGATATACTGAAACCTTTTGTTTTGCACATTCTTTCAAAATCACTCATTGACAAAAAATTTAATGTAATAGAGGTTGCGTATTTTAAGTTATTGAGGTTTTGCGCTCTGATGGGAAGGGAACATATTATTTTTTGAAGTTATAGAGGTTTGAATTATAGAGGTTCTACTGTATAAATAATTCATTCAAACTTTAAAAATGAGACAAGTTACATGAAGGAACAGCAAATTGTATACAAATTGTATAATCGTGAAAAGCAAATTGTATACTTATATCTATCTCTTTCGTTCGGTAAAGTAATACCTGGGGCTCAGTTATATGTAACTCAACATTTGAAATTGTTTTATTCGCTAAAAAACTATATCAGCAGAGCGATTCCGTAAAAATTAACCTGAATTCGAGTTCATTCAAAGCGAATCCGCTTAACTAATGGTAGTGTAGAAATTCCTTCGATTTTTTTTTTGTATAGAAATACAAAACAGGATTGATTGATTCATACGTGTCTTATATATTCAATCCCTATGTCATTTAGAAACTAATTAAGCTTTATTAATTACTCGTATCTAATTGATGTGTTCTGAAAATAGCTTTTTTGAATCTAGTATTATATCCAAGCCTCTTACACTATCTGTTCTTTGAATGAGATCACGATTAAAGTTGTAAGGGTACACAATAATTTGTTTTCTTCGACTAACTCAACTGTATAAATTCACAGTCTGTTCTAGATTTAACTATCATGAGTTTTTTTGATTATATCATCATACAATCAAAAAAACATATACATATCATCAGCGTAAAGTAAGTGCTTTGAATGATTAAAACATTGATAATACAGCAAAGGACCAAGACGCGATCCCAAAACTAATTTCATTTCAATACCAATTCACGGTTGGACGGCGTTGCTTTCGAAGTGAATTCGGGTTCAGATTTTTACAGAGTCGCTCAGCAGGCAGTATTCTTTACCCTCACCATTCAGCGCCTACTTCCACAACACCGTCATCGAAGGGTGTTGTGTATACACGACCGCCGATCCTGTTCTGTGCTTCCAACGCCAGTACATTCTTGCCAGCTCTCGTTAATGCACTGGCGGCAAACGTACCGGAAGGACCTAGACCCACCACGATCGTGTCATAGGTCGGAATACTGAAAATCA